AACAGAAGAAAAAGAATGGCAAAGAAATTAATTAATATTAAAACTACTTTTGAGAAACTTTTAGAGAATTTTCCCTTAGTTTTTCAAGTCCAAAATTACCCTTTAATTCCTTTCTTTTTACATTGTCAATCTATTCGTTCAATAGTTAAAAGAGGATAGTTTTTATTTAAAGTTATAGATTATTCAAACTATGAATAATTAAAATAAATATTAAACCTATTCACCAATACACAACATTCTAAACTACTAACAATTAATAGAAACCTTTATATATTAAGGCTTAAAGACTATTTTTTATTTATAATTCTTTGTATGATTGTCTATATCTTAGACACATTAGCTAGTATAGTTTTGATGTAGCAAAATTTTTGTTTTTCTTGAATAAATAAAATTTTTTTATTTATAAAAAAAAAAACTTATCAGACAATTAGGTGCAAAGGAATTTTTTTTCATGCATTTTCAAGCAACATGACGCATGCCCTTTTCATGCCTTTATCATAAAAAGATAGTAAATAATATTGTTTTTCAAGTTTATATTCCTACTAAAAAGGAAAACTTTAAGTTGGCATTTGGTTGGTGGAAAATAGGATTTCTGATTGGAATTTTATTTTTCATAATATGATACTTTTTAGTTTGATTGATTTTTTTTTTTACATCAAGAATCTTACATTTCTAATGGTATTAAAAAGGAAGAAAATAAGGGGAATCTGACGCCCTCCTTGATGTTTTTTAATAGAGTTAATTATACTTTTCATACATAAACTTTAGGAATATAAACAAATTGATACCTAGAGAAATAAAATGTACAATTTGCATCTTGAATTTTCAAATAATGTACAATTAGCACATTGAACTTTCAAATTATATTCCATATTAATCGAAACTCTAATACCGCTAACTGTATCAACTTATATATGTGAAATTTGACAAATATTATCAAGTTATTTGTTAACTACACATACCATCAACATCTTTTTTCAATATACATTAAAATATATATATTTTTCACTTGAACCGTAAAAACTTTCTGGGATCAATCAATCATTTTTGTCATGCGATATCCATTTGAAGGTTTTTACAAAATATTTAATATTTTATTTAACAAATAATATGCATATAACAAAATTATATTGATTACATAACATATAAGCGATTTAAGTTAATAATATTAAAATTTGGATTAAAATAATACATTATTTGAAAATCTAGAGTGCAAATTATATTTTAGGTGCTAATTTATATATTTTCTCAAAATTTAGATACAAAGTAATGATCTCGTTCTAATATTTCTCCAAAATATTATTTGTCATAATATTTGCTTCAAAAAATATTAGTTTCGATCCATTTTATCATTCAATATCAAACAAATTACATACCAAACTAACACCCAAGCTAACACATGCAAAGGCATCCCAAGCTCAATCCTAATCGTAGCCTAATGTACCATACAAAAGAAAAAAAAAAGAATATACAAAAATATTATGCTTTCTAAAAATAAAAAAGGCAGTTTAATGTATTATACAACAAAAAAGAATATAAAAAAATATATTTTCTCAAAAAAATCATAGTCTTAAAACAAAAGATTATAATTTTTCATAAAACTATAGCCTAATATACAAAAAGACTAATTTTACATAAAACTATACATATACACAAAAGACTACAATTTTTCAAAAAATTGAAGTCTAATATTAAAAAAAAAACAATATTTTTTTTATATATAAACAAATAAACAATTTACCTGTTTACAATAAATAATTTATTAATAAAAAATCTAAGCTATGTTGCCTTCCACTATACATTTGACTACCTTCCTTGGAAGTTCAAAATATATTCTGTCAAAAAAAAAATCCCAAATACCCTTGAGTAATCGATCCAGGTATTTGCTTTATGTAGAATAATAATTAGACTTCACACACAATTTAACATTTTATTTAATAAATAATATGCATATAACAAAATTATATTGACTACATAACATATAAGCTATTTAAGTTAATAATATTAAAATTTGGATTAAAATAATACATTATTTGAAAATCTAGAGTGCAAATTATATTTTAGATGCTAATTTATACATTTTCTCAAAATTTAGATACAAAGTAATGATCTTGTTCTAATATTTCTCCAAAATATTATTTTTCATAATATTTGCTTCAAAAAATATTAGTTTCGATCCATTTTATCATTCAATATCAAACAAATTACATACCAAACCAACACCCAAGCTAACACATGCAAAGGCATCCCAAGCTCAATCCTTAAACACCTAACTTAAGGTTAAATATCTTTTTTATATAGAAATTACTTCCCTTTTATTTTCTTTTTCCTTTCTACTTTATTTATTTTTTAATAAAAATATAATAATTAATTAATAACATATGTATATATTTTTAAAATTTTTAATTTTTTGAAATTAAAATATATTTAACAAAAATTTTAATTATTTAAAATTATTGATTTCTACTTTTGAAACATTTTTATTATTTAATTTATTTTACTTGTGAAATCATAAATTTTCCTATGTAGTAGTTGTATTTTAAAAAAATGTAAATTAATAAAGAATTTTATTATGATCCAAAATATGACAACCTTGTACACTTGTTTGAGTAGAATTTAAAAAGAAATGTTAGAAGAAATTATAATATATTTAACAATTTTTTTAATTCTAAAATAATTATTATTTTTATTTTTTAAAATTATAATATATTTAACAAATTTTTAGTTCTAAAATAATTTTATTTTTATTTTTTTAAGTAATTCCACAAAAGATTATAATTTTTCCAAAAATTGTAGTCTAATGTACTAAACAGAGAAAAGAATAGACAGAAAAATACTAAGTTTTCTAAAAAAGGTCGTAGCCTAATGTACCATACAAAAGAAAAAAAAAAGAATATACAAAAATATTATGCTTTCTAAAAAAAAAAGGCAGTCTAATGTATTATACAACAAAAAAGAATATAAAAAAACATATATTTTCTCAAAAAAATCATAGTCTTAAAACAAAAGATTATAATTTTTCATAAAACTATAGCCTAATATACAAAAAGACTAATTTTTCATAAAACTATACATATACACAAAAGACTATAAATTTTCAAAAAATTGAAGTCTAATATTAAAAAAAAACAATATTTTTTTTATATATAAACAAATTAGCAATTTACTTGTTTACAATAAATAATTTATTAATAAAAAATCTAAGCTATGTTGCCTTCCACTATACATTTGACTGCCTTCCTTGGAAGTTCAAAATATATTCTATGTCAAAAAAAAAAAAAATCCCAAATACCCTTGAGTAATCGATCAAGGTATTTGCTTTATGTAGAATAATAATTAGACTTCACACACAATTTGATAAAATATACATATACATATTTTTAAAATATTTATTTATAAAATTATTATTTAATATATAAATAATTTAAATAAATTTAAATTATTTATTAATTTTATAAATATTAAATAAAATAATTTACATGTTGTATAAATAAATAATTTAACACGTTCAATAAATAAGTAATTTAAATATAACTCTTTGTCATGTGTAATTCACGTAACATCAATTAATATTATAATTAACGATAATATAATAAAAGTTAAAACATTAAAAAAAATTTTAAATTATTATTATTATTTTAAAATAAATCATTATATTTTTATTACATCTAAACAAATTTTTTATTTTAATTTATATTTAAATAAATCCTCATTTTACATGAAAAATAATTTATATTAAAAGATTATTTAGATATAAATTAAAAGTTTAAGATTTATTTAAAAATAAATTAAAAATTAAAAACTCATTTAAATATAATAAATTATAAAGGTCTATCTAAATAAAATTTTAAAATTTTCTTATTATTTTTATGTAAAATATCAATAAATATCTTAAATTCTCTTAAAAACATGAAAATCTCTCATTTTATTTCAGCTGAATCCAAATATCTACCATTTCTTGAAATCATTAGATATAATGATGAATGGAATCAAATTCCCAATATAACTTATCCAACCAAACACCCTATCTAGCGATGATGTAAGAATCTTTTTCGGTCAAAAGGGTCAACTATTATTTTCTAGATACCCCAAACAGAAAGTTAGTGTGTGCTTGGTTTAAAAAAATAAAAGCTGTTTTTTATTTTTATTTTCGTAAAAAATAGAAAATGAATTAGAAAATTTGTTTGATTAAAAAAATAAAATAAAAATTTAAAAATAAAAATAAAAACAAGTCAAAATAAAAAAATTGTTTTGATTATTTTCAATGAAAATTTAAAAGAGGAAATGAAAAAGTTGAAAATATGCAATAAAAAAAATTATTTTGATTATTTTTCATGAAAATGGAATGGAGGAAAAGGAAAAGTTGAAAATATGAAATTTGAAAAATTTTTATTTTATTTTGAGACAAATTGTAAGGAGCAGGTTCGAATCTTGAGATCTCCAAAATAATATTTCTACAATCGTAAAACCCAAAAACACTTACAAAAGTAGCATGAAAGCATCCAAATTTTCCGGATTCGAATCATGAGGTCTTAGTGCCTAACCGGTCACCACTTGTATTGCTCGAAGTCTTGAAGTTCCCACTTGCTTCGAAATTCCCAGCGTTTTTGTGGGTTCATTTTTATTTTTCATATAAAAATTGAGTTTTTTTTAAAAGTTGATGATATTTTATCATTATATTATAAAATTTACAGTTATTGAATGATTAATAAATTTTTTATTTGAATTTTTATGTTTATTTTAATTATAATTTACTTTTATTATTTAATTATATAATTTTAAAAGATGTAATTTATTTAATTGTTATTTTAATATTTTTTATTTTAAAAATACACGTACCAAATATATTCTCACAAATTTTATATTTAAAAATAATTTTTATTTTATATAGAAAACATATCTTTTAAATTTCAAAAAAAATAAAATAAAAATAAAAATATATATATTTTCATAAACTAATCGCAACCTTAATGTTTCCAAATTGATTTTTGCTTCTCGAAGATACCTTCACTTTCCTAATCAAACGCCTCCAAATATGGTGACGCCACAGATGATGTACGAATCTTGTTTTGAGCGTTCACTATGATTTTCCTAATTCCCTAAAACAGAAAGTAAAATGTTTCCAAATTGATTTATGCTTCCTTTATCGTCACACTACCATCTTATAAAAAAAGTGACGCACATTTTTGCCCTTTTCATTTCTAGTTAGTGTTTTTGTTTGATCAAACAAAAAGGGTAAAGTTTACTTAGAAAGAAGGGAGAATGTCAGGTTCTCAGTGCTGCTCAAACCCACCAACATTGAATCCTCGAAGTGGAGTTGGTCATGTTGAGGAGCTTGCTGGGTTCATGACTTATGTCACTGGATCTTTTGACTCCAAACTTGCTGTTCTTCTTGTCTCTGATGTTTTTGGTAATTACCCATTTCCCCCAAAATTTTCCCGACTCCAAGCTCTTCACTTTTTTGTTCACATTTCTGCTTCAGTCTTTAATTTGGGTTTTTTTTTTCTTTTGTGTTTGAACATATTCTATCTGGCTTTTGTTTGAAATTGATGATGCATTGCCTGTTTCATTGTTCAAACAAATTGGTAGAGCAGAAGGACGTTAGGGGTGCTTGTTTCATTGTTCCTCATCCATCTGTAACAGATTTTTTCCTTTATCATGGTTTTGGTATTCTTTTACTATATATTTACTTTCATTTAGCATTGTTTCTGCAATTGTATGTCTTTCCTCCATGAAAATGTTGTCCTCATGATCATGATAATCATGGCCATCATCTCGATTATCTGCTAATTTCGTTGTTCTTGTCGTGGCTCTGCAGGATATGAGGCACCAAACCTAAGGTAAGACTAATTCTGCAAGTTAACCAATTTTTGCTGATGTTTTGCCTTTATTGTCTCTTCTATGACTCCTGGAAAATGTAGTCGTTACTTTAAAGATGTTACTTTTCAAATCTCATATTGATACTTGTTCTTCTGTGGGACAGGCTGTCCCAAATCTGTGTTTCATTGGATTTCGAATTCCATGTTTTTGCTCTAGTTTTTACTTTTCCATTCAAAAATAGATTTTATTATACTCTTTTTTTTTTTTTATCTTGAAGAATAATTGAAATCTTCTGGTACTAATATTTCCTGATACATTTTGTCCTTAGGTTTTATTTACTCACTCCTCTATTGCCTGCCTCTTTTCCTAAAAAGTACGTAACCATTCTGAGATAACTGGCCAGTGAAGGAAAGAGCTAAAATCTAGAGTTCTCATTGACAATTCACATAGGCTGTTGCTCGCTGTGTTCCCATTGTTATTATTAGCTCTTAAAGTCATCACATTAGTATTATCACTCTTTAAGGAATTAAGAAATTAATCTAATCTGCCCATGTTAATTATGGAACCAAAATTTTCATCTATCAGCATATCAATACTGGAATGTGTGTAGTGTATTCCTTTGCTTTAATACCTGTTTGGCATTGTGACTAGAGTTGCATTTGATCACAATTATTGAATTTGACGGTAAATACATTGCCCGAACAAGTTAAAATTTGCAGTAAATAATCCCAATCACAAGTGATTTAATCTTAATCGCAAAAGCAGGTAGAAACTTGCTTTTGCAATTGCGTTGAGAGCTTTCAAATGCAATTTTATATTACACTTTCCAATTGGAATCACAATGCCAAGATAGGCCTTATTATACTTATATCTCAGGCAATGCTATTATAACAGGAAAAAAAAAGTATGGCAAATTTAGTGGTTGGAATAAACAGTATAATAATTCAAGTTTTTAAGATAGAAAGGCGACTTAGCAAGGCTGTTTGACATACTGAATGCTTCTGGCAGTCCATCAATGTGGTCGCACATCTCATGACATTCAATTTTATGACTCACCGACATCCGGCGAAAATTGTATTAGATGATATATCTTGCTTCCATTTTTCAATAGTTGTATGGATTGATTGTTCTTTTATTGAAGTGTTCTCTCCTATCGATGCTGGTTATTCTTGGCTTAAAATGTGGAGTGACCTCTCATTGTAACATTTAGAAAAATGAAAATAACTATTTTTGATATGAGAATACGGATTCTGAAAATTATAATTTAGCAAATTAAAATTTGGCATGTCTCTAACTGATTTTTGGTGCAATTAGATTATTTTATGGGATTGTGATAGTATGGGAGTGAGTCTGTGGTAGGGTGGCTGGTGGCATGACATCAATTTATTTTAACTACATAGTTTGTTCTATCTAGCAGCTAGAGTTGAATGGTACAAGCTTCTGGAGCTAATTTCAGTTGCTTTTGATTGTATAGAAAACTTGCAGACAAGGTTGCAGCTGCTGGGTTCTACGTGGTGGCTCCTGACTTCTTATATGGAGATCCCTATGTCCCCAAGAGATCTGGTAGACCTTTAGGTGTTTGGCTAAGGGACCATGGAGTGGTTAGTGGCCTTTTGACATATACCTGAAATTGTTTATGTCTAGTTGTATAAGAAAGGACCTTATTTGATTCTTAATTTTACTCTTTTTAGTTCCAATTCTGTTTTAGACTCTCCTAAATTTATAGAATGTCTTTAGTTTCTTTATAATTCGATGTAGGTTTGATTTTGAATTTACGGGGTGCATTCTGGCTTTGTTCACCACTATAGTAACTGCTATTTTACTATATCTCTTTACCTAGACAATAATCTAATGCTTAATGTTGCATCACTTTTGAAGTTTTATGCTCTGAAGCTTTGCAATTGCTCTTTTAGGATAAAGGTTTGGAGGATGCAAAGCTAGTAATTAATGCTTTGAAAAGTAAAGGGGTTGCAGCAATTGGAGCTGCTGGCTTCTGTTGGGGTGGTGAGTTTTCATTTATGCTTTATGTCTTAAGTGGTTTCATTAGCGTATCTTTACTATTTTTAGACAACCATGTGCTGTACTTTTGCAATTGCATATGATTTAACTATTTTATCTTTTCATCAGTTTAAGGATCACTTTATTACCTGAGATGGCTAATATTAAGTCTTTGGGTTATCTCAGCTAAAGTTGTGGTTGGACTGGCAAAGGATGCTCTTATCCAAGCAGCTGTGATGTTACATCCTACATTTGTGACTGTGGATGATGTCAAGAGTAAGATTCTAGTTTTTTGAATATTTCAATTATGATTTGCTCATTTCATTAGCAAATTGTTTTTGATTTAGTGACTTTAAGGTTAGGTCTGCTGAGCTTTAGGGTGGAACATCCGGTTGAACTCCCTGCGAAATGTTTTGCATAGGCTCTTGCAGTAGGATTCAGTTTATTTTCAGTAGGCCATATTGCCTGAGCAGTTTCTAAAGGATTAATGTCATTTTAATTGAAGATTCTTATACCATTTTAGTCAAAAAATTCTCTCTTGCCACTGTAACTGTTGTGTAAAGTGTCTGAAAATCTTAGTCACTCTAGACCTACTTGCCCAAATTCAAGAATATGAAGTTATGGCTACCCTCTCTCTTTTCTCTAGTGGTTCTTATTTTGACAACCCATTTTGAAGAATCAGTAAGAAGCACAGCAAGGCACATATCTGAAGTCAACTCATCAATGGTCCATCAATTCACCATCACAATATTTGTAACCTAATACAATTAGCAAGATCACGCCACTGTCCAGAGATGAGAAAACCTGGCCTTATGTGATGATCGCCAACAGAAACTGCATGTTGTACAGTATTGCCAAAATTCTTCTGTCCTAGAATCAATAGTTCTTTTTCCATAAACTGTAGCATGAAACTGTTGTGATGATACTTACTCAAAAGTTGAAGTTTAGGTTTGGTTGTTGTTATTAGCTGATTCTCTAAAAGAGTTTTTGTATTTTACTAGGATTATTTTATCATATAAAGATGTATGTAGCCATATACTATTAGAATCTCTTTTGACTTGAAAATGGATAAAATATATAGTTTATCATAGCATATCAGATGCCAGATCTCTAGAAATTCTCTATGGCTTTAATACTACGTTTTCTTTATAATATTTACATAATACCTCCATTGTAGTATTAGCTATTACTAACTTGGATGAGGGCATTAAACCTTTGCTGTTTTTGATATTGTAGGGCAGTGTTTCACTGAACAAATACCCATGCACAACTTTTATACCAAGCCAAATAGATCATACTTCCTTTCTGTGATTATACATTTGAACTAGTATAGGCTTGTAAAAACAATTAGGTTCTGGTGACCATGTTACTGAAAAGGAATTGTTTGACAGATTTGGTGCTTTGGTGCTTCCCTTTCTCTCATAGTTCTACGTGCTGTGGGTGGTAGGGCAAGTGTACCTTATTACTAATGATTATGTGCAGGTGTGAAGGTTCCCATTGCGATACTGGGAGCTGAGATTGACCAAAGATCTCCCCCAGAACTTGTGAAACAGTTTGATAAGATCTTAAGTGCTAAACCTGAGGTAAGAAGGCTTGGTGCGTGGTCTCAATTTGCTGTCATTAGCTGTCATCTTAAAAAATTATTGGCTGCTGTTTGTTCTCTTTATTGAATAAGCCAAATAATTTGGTAAAAGTTTGTATTTTCTATGATCTAGTCAGATTTTCTTTCAATGACAAAAATGCGCTTTGACATTTATATTTTCTAGAAATGAGGAAATTCTCTCTCCTGTATCCTTTCTTCACTGCTGCAAGCATTCATATTACAATTAGATGATATCCTCTCACCGGCGTTGCATATCACCATGGGTTTTTCTTATTCTTGGTTGGAAATTTACTTGTAATGAACACTGACATTGAGTTACATTTCACTCAGTCACACATATTCGTAAAACACATATTCAAATTGATGTCTAGGTTTTATATTTTCCATATTATAAGTGCTGTTAACTTAATGTGTGTCTTTGTCCTTAGTTGCTGAATCCTTGAACCAATGCATCGAACAAAAGCTTAGTTGTTGTTGATGTTGTCCTTAGTTAATAAATAGCTGGTATTATTTCAAAGGCTCCTATGGAAATACGATAATGCTAAGTCTTTGACAACTGGTTGTGAATAAGTTTTAAGATAGTAGGAGTAATAGGTAGTAGTAGCTGGCTATATATGTCAAATGACCAATCCCCAATGCCCACCACACATTTTTGTGGGGCCCTGAGGGGTGCCCTTTTCTATCATTGCCTTACCCTGGAAATCTGTTACTTATCAACCAAACAAAATACCACTCCAATTACTTGGGTCTGGGTATGGCTTTTTCCCAGTCCCTTTTTCTTTTGGTCTATAGTTTATCCATGGGCCATGGCCCGTTCAAATTTGGGACTTTGAAGATCTTTCTTCTTTCAATCCTAGGGTGCAAGTGGCCATAGGTCTGTGTCTACATGTATTCTTCACCTGAAGTTTTTGTTGTTCTCCCGTTAGATCCCCAGCCAAACTGTTTTTTCCAGAATCTATTGAATTACGTTCTTTATGGACATTTTCATCACTACATGACCTCTCAGTATCTCCGTTACAAAGTAACATCTTCATTTTGCAGGTTGATAGCTTTGTGAAGATATTTCCTAAATGTGCTCATGGATGGACCGTCAGGTACAATGTTGATGATGCAGCAGCTGTGTCGCGTGCAGATGAAGCGCATCAAAATATGCTGGAGTGGTTCACCAAGTATGTTAGGTGAGAAACTTACCTGATGATGGAATTAATGTGTATTACCTAGAACTGTGTTGGTTTTAGTGTTAAATGGCTGTGAATATGCTAGTGTTCGCAAAGAATAAGAGAGTGAATTCTAATGCAGTGTGCCTTAACTACATGGGTGAGACCAAACATTGTAGTACGGGGAATTGTTGTCTATATTGTTTCTTTCAGCCTATGCATTGAAATTTCTGCTGCATGACTTGACGTGAATTTTGTGCCTAGGGCTTTGCCGCGGACATTACAGCATGCAAGTTGTTTATAATTGGACCATGTGGAATCCTCATCTGCAAGAATGACAGAACATTCTACGCTGTTGAATCGGTAAAAGGGAAAGAGTGGGAATCATGTTATGTCTTGATCTCTGATCTCATCTTTCTTATCCATTACAAATTCTAAGAACCACCGAGGGAATTCATATTTCGAAATAATGTTGGGATTATACAGTGAGGGTTCCGAACTTTTGAAATGTCTACTATAAAGCAAAAGTTATTTATATTACTTGAAATTCATGAATGTGATGTAGATATCGAGCCCATTTTTTCCTCCTACACAAATGATTGAAGGAAAAAAAGAGGTGAATTGGACCATTCAGAGTCAAGAAACTCACCAGGGTTATACCCGACGGCTTCAACAGACTCGTCTCATGGCTGTAAGTAAATAGTTATGAACAGGATTTTGTTTGGAATGAAAGCTTGGTGTCTATACTAAATTATTCCAATTATGCATTTTGTTGAATAACCTTATTTTCCATCTTTTATTGACTGCAATCCAACCCAACTCTTGTGATCTATTAGTTTTATGATATATATGCTTGTCATTTTTTAACTTTTTTTTTTATTTTTATTCTGTAATACGATTGACATTAACTTTTACATCTAATCCGCTCTTCATATCTTTAAAGGTGCATTCTCACAAAAGATTTTAAAAGCATACTTCCTATATCAATATGGTTGCATTCATAATTTATTTATAAAATCTTCCTATTAAAATCGAACTGTTTAATAAGAAAATATAGAACTCCTTTAAATTTTACCGTAAGATTAACTCTTGTGATTCGTGAGTATTTTGTTTCGGATGTTGTACATAAATAAAGATATGTATTAATATATTTTTATTATTATTATTTAAGCAACACAATGACGTTTAACAAAGCTTAGCCTCCTCCCCTTTCCAACTCCAGAATGAATTCAAGAAAAAGAAGCCACAGCAGCAGAGCCAAGAAATCCACAAGCGGGTCGCTACTTCTTCTACCTCATCGCCTCACTTTTTCTTGATATGCTCAAAAGAGTTATCAACACTTATATGTTAAAAGTAACGGGATTTAAATAGCGGTCGTGATCACGTTTTTTGTCGCGTTTCGTTTATCGTATTTTTAAATATAATAGAAATCATAACAGTTATTACAGTTATCGTGGTTATGAATTTTTTTTTTTACACAATTTATTATAAAATATAATAATTATAATTATAATTATAAAAATTCTTATTCAATGATTTTAAAAAAAGTTTATGACACCTTATGTTTTTTATTTTTTAAAAAAATTATTTACAATTTTATTTAGATTATAATAAAGTATTCATATTTGGTTTATCCACAAATTTTTTTGGATCAAATTCACATTCAATATTGAATTCTAGATTTGATACACTAATTGATATAAATTTTTTATCACAAATTACTTTCAATAATTATATAATAAATAGAATTTTCAATAATTACACAAAAAATAATAAAAATTAATCTTATATAAAAAAGATTGACAACAATATAAATACCAAAACAACAAAAAAAATTATTAAATTTCAAATACAAAATCATAAATTAATATATAACAAAATTAAAATATAATATTTAATTTTAATTATTTTTTATCTAACTTATACAAAAAAATTTACCAAAATTTTTCATCTAAAATCTCTATATATATTATATTAAATTACAAATCTCTTATTTTTTTTAATTATAAATTTTCAAAACTTCTAATTAAATTTTATCTAAAAACTTTTCAAAAATTAATTATAAAATTAAATAAAAAAATTCATCCCCCTAATCCCCCACCCAACGGCCCCACCCCCATTCCATTCCATCCCACCCCAACCTAACCCACCCAACCCAAACCCTCATCCACCCATGTACCCCAATTTCCCCAATTTGTCTAATCCCAACAAACCCACCCATGAACCCCACTTATTATCTTTTGTTGTCTTTTTCGTGCTTCACCTTCGAGAATCTTCTTCTTCCTTTTTTTTTTCATCTCTCATTTTCTCTCGCATCTTTTCATCACTATCACTTGCCTAGTACCTACAGAATACCTTATTCATCTCTCTCAAACTCTCATAACAGACATCATTTTACAAAAATTTTACAAAAAAATAAAGATAATTTAACTTTCTTTTCTTACTGTATTTGATCTTAAATGTTGATTGAGAACTTGAGGCTGATTTGAATTTGAGTGCCGAAGTGCCAATTGAATGGTTGATAAATAATTTGTCTGTTTTCTAACTTGTTTTTAGATTGATTTTGATGTTGAGGACTGAGATTCTGAGTTTTTTTTTTTTGCTTTTGCTTTTCTTTTTACTTTGTAGGCTTGTTGCTTTATTCTGCAATGTTGAAAATTTTTTTTTTTGAACTGTTGATCCGTGAGTAAAAAAAGGAAATAGCTACAATAATGGTCCGTTATTTTTGCTATTCCCCGTTACGCCATTATTTTGTGACCATTATACACCGTTTTGACTGTGAATGAATTTCTCAACCTCATTTCATCTAATAATGGTGGAGGGTAGTGGCATTACTATAATTTTACGGCCTTTATTCCATTATTAAACCACTATTGAATCCTAAGAGTCAACAAATTAGTTTATAATAGGTGTTCAAGAAAAATTGTAAAGACCCAAGGTTTCTTACTTATTTTTTACTTATAATAGTCTCTTATTTGCAGAAGCTAGCAAGAATGAAAGTGAAGGGGTGATGGACATGTTGTAAAAATATCATGATGGCTTAGATTAAAAATTAGTTTCGCAAAATCAAATTTGTTGTTTAGCAAGAACACAAGTCAATAACAAAAAAATATTGTCAACGAGGTGTTTGCAATTCGGGTTCTCATAAATCCAAAAAAGTATTTGGGTTTATCTACTATGGTAGGTAAAGGAAGGAAAAAAGCATTCAAGGAACTTAAGGAGTGGATCAATAAGAAATGAGGGACGTATATAATGTTATATGTTAGAACCTAGGGTTCAAAAAAACATGAGAAATTAAAAAAAAGTTTCAAGGCATGTAATGGTGTTATTTTTTTTTTTAAGATTTTATTTATTCTCACCACTTTATTAATTGATATGCAAAAGAGTTACTGGCGATAAATCTAGAAAATATAATCAAACTCAATGATTGATTGCATCTTATATTGAATAAATTAATCCACTGAGCGTTCACTAACATAAAAACAAAATTATTTGATTTGGCTATAGAAAACATGTGAGACTTTTTTTGGCTTTTGTTTCATATGCAAAATATTTTTGCATGATAATTTTATCTTGTATCTTTTAAAAACTAGAAGAGTGTTATTTATAATTAAATAGAAGTCTCTTTGTACTAACATAATTGTCCATAAAGATGCCTATTTGTATAGATATAACTCTTTATAAGATATAACTCTTAGTAAATAATTATATCATTTAAAGAGATATAATTTTTCACTATCACATGCAATTTATGTCATTTATTATTTTGAAAATATTCCAACAATCCCCCATTTTTTTCAAAATAAACCAAATCTTTGATAATTCTGGAAATCTTTCGCATTAATGAAGGTATCTTCCGATTTGAACATTTGCTTAATAAAAACAAGTTAAAGTTAACTGAAATTGTATGGTGAGCTATGCTGGAACCAATTATTTAGTTTGGTTAACCAAACTAATCTCACACAAAAGACTTTTACACCCAATTAACACTCAGTATTCGAGGACACTATTTTGGCCATGTGTCTGTATCTTCTTTTACAAGTATTGTTATAGTCAAGCCCTTGAACTTTTAGGAAGTGACCACACTTCACACTCACATAGATAGCTTCCATTAAGAGTGTTTCTATAACTATAACACTTTAACATATTTATGTTATGAGTTAATTAAGAGTATAACCTTATCCTTCTTTTATCGTTATAGGTACCAAGCACTTTACTTGGGATGAAAACACAAGATTATAATGCTTGTAGCCACATATAGATGATGTACTTTAGCTCATTGAACTCAAGATTTGACGTTATATGGAGTGTTAAGTTGAGTTTCCATCATGGTTAACTTCATATTATAAGCTTGAACCTCATCCCCAAATTTTCAACATAGCTATGTTAATTTTTCATACTACATAATAAAATTTTCACTTATTCTATCTTGAAGGTTTATAAAACCAATACCACCACCACATATGTATATTCATTTTTCAAAGAATGCTCTTCCCATAGTAATTCATCTATTATGAACATCCCTTTATCATAAATTCTTTTAGTTCATAGTGATCACTTTATTATTATTCTTGTCATAATGGTTTCACATCTTTTCATTTTATATATTTCTTGGTATCCTAAGAAATTAATGTCATTGCCACCAAATTATGAATCATACATCATATTGTCTTTTTCACTAAGTAAATTATTGTAACAGAGGTCTCAAATCTATTGGTAAGACAAGACAATGTCTTTTTGCTATAGATATATATATATATATATTCTTATGACTTCTTATTATATCAATTTAAGACTTAAAACTTATTTTGTATATATACTCAAATAGCATGACTTTTCATCAACAAATTACATATATACACAAGGGTGCTTCACATATCTTTTTTAAAATATATTCATTTTAGAAAATTATCAATAGACTTATCAAATGACTATCAAAATATCATATATATATATATATACACACACACACACACCATTTATCATGGACATTATTAGCCATTTTTATAGCCTTAATCGAAACCATGTCCACCACCCAAATAAGTTATAACATTTATGGCATTAAATTTGGCTTATGACTATTCTAAGCCAATCTACATCAAACCTACAAATCATGTCAGTTTGACTATTGAAGCTATCTCTGTTTGCATTAAAATAAACTTTATTTTTGTTTGTTTTAATGGTAAACCGTGTCATTTTCTCCATGGTATTCCAACATGAAACTTTTTAAATTCATAAACATAACTAAAGACCTATTGAATGAGTTTCCTTCAAACCTATGATAACTGGTTGTAGACACCTAATTTCGTTTTAATTATTCTCCAATCTCAAGTTAATTTAAATCAGGCGTTGGACCTAATCCATTTGATTTGGATTTATCATTTGAGTATTAAACTCAAATTATATTTTAGACTCAATGCAAACCCATTTGTTTTTATTGTTTTATTTATTTATTTTTGCTTTTATCATTATTTTGGAATAAATAAAAAGATTAAAAAAAGGGATAAAATGAAATGATAAGATTTTTGAAATTTCAATGCTTCTAGAAATCAAAATTCTTGAAATCAAATTTAGATTGAAAGGGACAAGATGCTCAATTTTTGAATTGGAATCTTATCTTCATCATCTTTATATACAATTATTGTTTAGAATACAAAAGCAGAGTGAAAAATATAGAGAAAAACCTAACAATTATTGATAGCTCCCAATCACCATCTTTACTTTACAATAACTAAACCATACTTAGTATAAAAAACCTCCTATCGCCACTATCATCACTTGTCCTCCTCTACCTAACTCTCACTGAATACACCACCAGTCCAGACCACCATCCCTTAAACATAAATTATACTCAAATGAGTGTAGATGTTTTTCTTGTTTTTTAGATTGGAAAAATTTATGATTAATTTACCTTTTTTTAAGTATAATTGAAACCGTAGTATAATTTATGATATTTGACATTAAATAAATAAATAAATAATAAAAATATTATCTTAAATATATAAAACAAAAATTTTGAATTGTTAAAAAATTTGTAAAATATATTTTAATTTAAAAAATTAACAAATTAAAAAAAACATTGTTATAAATTAATTTTACTAAAAATTCATATTAAGAATAAACATATAAAAATAAAAAAACTAAAGTCATTTCTATTTAAAAATAATAAAATTTA